TATTATGGGACAGGCTCCTAATATGAGACAGCGGGGTGTCTGCTAAATTATTAGACGTCATCTGTTGATTCCACCATGAATTCTTTTGCCCCTGGAGTGAAGTTTGTTTAGTGGAAAAGTGATTGTTAGATCGTTGTGAAAAAAGATTTGTCATTAAATTTGGACGTTGAGAACCTACTGTCTCATATCAGAGTCCTATCTAGTTGTCCCAATAGGGTTCGATATTTCAAACCAAAAGCTTGACAGACTTCGCTGCACATCCAGTGAATCCCAGAGGAAATCTGATTCGTCCATTTTCTAACAGACGACTGGTTGGACCTACCAGATTTCTAATTAGCGTACAATGGACTGTAAACAATTTTGACTAATAATAAAACGAAACTGGAGCACATCGCGGACGTGTGTCTATACGAGAAACTGTAGTACGCGAGGTGTTTTCAGATAAAAAAAAATCAATTTCACCTATCCGGTTACATCATGTTGCAACGGGGGGAAAAAATGAAAATTATTATTTAATCGTTTCTTCCTTCGCCTCACGCGCGCCAACAAAGTGGAATTAATTCGATTCCGCGCCGAGAATAATGACGAGAGTGAAACAGCCGGCGGGCAGTTACTTAAATTTCCACCCGCGCGTTTCTACTTTTCAACGCAGCGCGCGTAACCCTCCGTCTAACTTTTCGCACTTGTTGTCAACTCGGCGAGCCGGTTGACGGCGGTCGTCGTGCTTAAATGTCATGCCGATTAAACGGTTACGCGCGTTACTTGCGCGCGATGCCTGCGCGCGCGCGCAACGCGCGCGGCACCCCGCGACTTACGGCCGCGAACCGAATCACTTTCTCTTTTCTCCCGAGCGCGAGACGAGGCCGATTTTGCGTACACGACCGGCACCGGGGCTGCCCGTAACGCGGGGAGCGCAAACCGGAATAATGCCGCGCGATCTGGAACGTGCTTGGCGTAACGCGTTACACGCGCCCGTTGCCGTTCATTGATTCCAGTATCGCGATATCGCGCGGAGCCTTTCTTCTGTTTTTTTTTTAATCTCAATAATGATAATTATTAGCGTGGCGGCCGCGCTGAAACGCTCGTGCTCGGATCCCCGACGGAATTATCGGTGAAAACTCGGAAAGAGATTTAACGACCGCTATCGGTAGCTAATACGCTTCGTTATTTTGCCTCGGTGAAATCACGAGACACGAATCGCGGATGATTGGTATGCGATTTGAAGAGCGCGGTAAATAGTAGTTCATTATCGCGTTTCCTCCGAGAAAATCACGAGAGCTCCGATACGGGAACGCAAGACGTTAACGCGCGACGTAGCATTGCGTCGTAAAGCTCCTTTTTCCGCGAGTATCACGTCGATTCTCGGGGAACAGCGGTGTACGTTCGATTAAACCGAAGACCAGCGGAATTTTTTCCGATCCCCGGAAACCTAATTAAACCTAATTAAGGCTCGGTTTCACCGACGTTGCTTAACTTTAAGCTTAGCTTCATTCGCTCTTTGTTTCTCTCCAACTGTCACTGTAGAAAGAGACGAACGCGAATTAAACCAAGATTAAAGTTAAGCGACGTTTGGTGAAATCGGGTCCAAGTATTTCATATAGTTGATGAAGTAACTCGGGCTTTGTGGCCCGAAAAGCAAAATCGAAGATAGGATAGACCGAGGCGAATCGAGTCACTTTCAGTTCAATACCTACGCTACACTGTAGACAATGTGCACGCACTGACTCTTGCCTTAGGAGCGGCGGAGAACTCGCGCGCCAGAATAATAAGTTTCGATCGGAATGTAACAAATGTAGTCTCAATTCTGTGATCCGTTTCGCCTCGGTTGATCCTGTCGTAGAAAGTTACAAGAAGGAAACCGAATTTCTCCACAAATCGTACAATTTAAGGAATCCTTGTGTTGCAGTTCTTGGCGTGCGTCGCCGCGCTCTGCACGGCGCAGAACCAGGACGGACCGAGGGGGGCACCGGTCCCGATACGAGCGACTCGCTATCAGAGATTACCACCCTCTCGACCAGGCGGCACCGGACCGGCGTTTCCGAATCAACGATTTCGCCGACCGATCTCCTTCAAGTGAGACACCGATCGTCGATCATACGGCGATGATTAATTACGCGCAGAGCTCGGGAGCATTTAATAGTCGATGCTTGAGGCTTGCCTTAATGAATTAATTTTGACAAGATTCCTTTCTTGCGTTCATCTCCTCTTAAACGACTCGTCGATACACGTGAGATATAAGTCGACCGATCTCCGGATAATATAACTTGATCATTAATCATACACTTAATCCGAATGCGAGATAGTCGATTAGATAAAGGAAGACATTTTCGGGTATACTTCAATATGAAATGTCTGACGATTTTTGTGCCTGTTTACGACGCTACGACCTTGTTGGAGCATTTAGCCACGGTGAATATAAATAAATCGCGTACTAACAATGTTCGCGTAATCCGCGAGCGAACTATTCGAGCTATTGGAAAGGCAGGGAAACCAGTTTGGGCGAAGCGCATATCTGTCCGAGGGGATACAGAATGAACCTACGTACGCACCGTTGTTAATTAGTCTAACGGGCCCCCCCGAGTTTCGTGCAACGTCCGCGAACGTTGCACCAAGCAGGAAGTGGCAGAATTACCGACGTGCATTTGAGAATAGCCGGATTACGCAATACCGGCGTGCGAATCTATCACTACTGGGCAGGCTTGCAAATCGAGACAAGAAAGTCCGAATACCGTTCCACGCGAGCGGCTCCGCAAATATGTAAATGCATGGTCTAACGTTGCAACCGGTAGGGAGTAAGATAGTCCTGGCATTTCCCTGGTGTTCCGCCCCCTGCGTTTTTCACCTGAAAAGTAAACTACCGCGTCATTTAAAAAGGTATCTGATACGATCTAGCAGCGACCTGAAAATGCTCAAGAACTTCCGAGAACTACGCGTAAACGTCCCCGCGTGACGCACAGACACCTATACCAATCGCCAATTGCAGAAACCGCTAATGACCGTTAAAATTGCAGGCCCCGTGGAGGCCCAGGCGACGAGGCGCCCGGTGCCCCGTTCCGCCCCGTGCGGCCGAACTTGCCGGTAACCGCGCCTTCGTTCGCGCATCACGTGAAGCCGGTGAACGAGGAGCCCGAGGAGGACGACAACCTGTCGCGCGACATCACCCGCGAGGACGAGGACTCGCGCGACCAGAGCCAGGAGGTCAGGAGCCAGGACAGCGAGGAGGATCTGAGCGAGGAGGTGCCGCGCGCGGCGGCGAGTCCACCGCGGCCACCGCCACCGGCTCCGGGACCGCTCGCGTACCGTTCACCCCAGACGGTGACGCCGACGAGCGTCAGGTTGAACCCCGCGACGCCCCCGCCGCCACTGCCGCCGCCCGTTCAGTACCGCCCGACACCCCCGCCGCCGCCGCCGCCTATCCAGTACCGGCCGACGCCGAAGCCCACGAAGGCCCCGAGGAAGCAGATCCTCGACGACATCACGTTCCAGCAGCCCATCAAGCCGCCACCCAAGCCGGTGAAACCGTCCCAGGCTTACGAAATCCGCGGCAAGAAGCCGGTAGCGCAGGTAGGTCCGTCACATCCTCCGAGAGCGCGAATACAATTTCTACTTTATTGTTTCAGCGTCGACCAGGGTAAGCTCTTATATCATGTAATTAAGTAATTTTATGTAATTCGATAGCAATATGTAATACGAATCGCAAGTTACGCGGTCGGGGCCGGTACAATTTCGAGAGTACGAAAAGATCGATAGAGTTTTGAAATCGAAAGGTGAAAGCCGGAATCATCTGGCCGTCGTGCTCCTTTTTGTCCCGAGATAACGTCGCATAACTCATAAACGCGGTCACAGGAAACCTGTTCGCGCCCGTTACGCAACGGTCCCCGGTCGAATTTGCGAAATGACACGCCCGGTGTCTTTTCACGCGTTATAAACGAGTCTCGAAACCACCTCGGACGATCGGAGTTCCGAATTCTACCTTGTACATGAATTACACAGATCCTTCTAAAATAGTCTCTAACACGCCGAGTTCGTAATACGTCGGTACATGATCTACGGCAGACAATTTTCTCTTAGGAAAAATCCTTCAATGTCCAATAACGAACAATATTTTGAAGATCATCAGACGATATCGGCAGGACAATGCCGACGGTTCTATCACGTGGGGCTTCGAAAACGACGACGGATCGTACAAGGAGGAGACGATTGGCGTGGATTGCATAACGAGCGGTAAATACGGGTACATCGATCCGGATGGTATCCGACGCGAATACACGTACGAGACCGGGATCAGGTGTGACGAGCAGCAGCGAGAGGAGGAGGAAGAAGGCTTCGTGGATTACCAAGAGAACAAGCTGGTGCTGCCGGACGGGAAGACCATAGATCTCTCGTCGATGGGCAAGAAGCAGGCGCGCCGGCCCCAGTTCCAATACAGAAATTAAGGGTATTCGAGAATCGCACTTTGTACATTCGCCATCGCCCTTGTCGCGTTTAATGCCTAATTCTAACTCGTTACGTAAAATCATACGTTTGTTAAACTAAACTATAATTAAATAAATAAGTTAAGATATCGAAAGGTTAGCGATATAAATAAGATAATACGTAATTCTATATAAGATTATTTAGTGTAAAAATTAGGCTTAATAAATAAAATAATAAATCAAGATATTAATATCAGCTTAACGTGATCGTATCTCCAAAAGCACATTGAGCTCGAGGCAATTCTCCATAATATAGTTCGCTATGTTATAAAAAGCACTCGCTTAATCTAAATACTTACTCAATAGTCGTCGTACAATATTCGTCAACATGATAGAAATAGATAAGATTACATAAGTGAAGCAACTGAAAACTTTCGCGTGATGTAACGGTACCCTATCCTTATCGGAAATTCGTTTATAAAGATAACTCGTGATTGTAAAGATGTCCGGAATATTTCACGGATATGTTGACAAGATCCATCCGTCCCACATTAAAAAGGGATCGTCAGCGAATCGAATTCCACGTCCAGGAAACAACAATCAATTATTTATTTCGTTGAATACATTTACCGACGTTGAGACTTTTATTCCGCCGATCATCATTATGCATACTAATATCCTCGTCAGATCTCCCGTCAGATCATTTTTAACTAGACATTGATACAAGTGTATACCGTGTTGTGTACATATCGATTGTATACCTGTAGAGATTCCAGCCTGAATAAAGGTAACAAAACTAATAAATATGTACAGTTTACGCGAGTCGCAACAGAGTGTCCACTACGCTTCGAGTACATCGTAACAAATTATTCTCGTTTGTGACATAGAGAAAATCTCGTGGGCGTCATTCCGCGAGATTACGCGTACCGCGTAACGCGATATGATGATCCGATATGATGACGAACGCGGCAAATATGTTCGTCGCGAGCCAAGTAACGCGTCTATTATTTGTGTATATATATATATATATATATATATGCATATGTGATCACGCTACATTATTTTCTTGCGCTCCCCTGTACAATTGGCGCAGTCGCAGCTGCACTCTTAATCCCTTCCGCTGTGTTAGGGGCTTACAAAGAGCAATATCGAACGATCTAAGAAATCTATATGACGGTCTACGAAGGCTACGCGCACAACGATAACGAGGAAAAACTCTTCCTTAATTTCTACACACTTCGTTCTTGCTTGCAAATGGCCGAACACACTGCATGGTCATTTTATACAGAAATATCGCTCTTCATTAAATTCATTCACATGACGTATACTCAATTGTTTCTCTTAAATCAAAAAATCTTCAAGTCGTGAATAAAGATCGACGAAAGCAGAAATGTCTCGTTAGCGGAAAAGCGCAAACAATCGCTGAAGATAAAATTGACCGGTCCAGTTGCGAATAAGAAAGCCAGAGGATGAAAATAGAAACTAGCACTTGCAACGGCACTAGCTATCGCGCTAAAATACGCCCGAGCATCGTTTACCACCACCACGATGCCTAAGCGTTGCCTCGGTTTCCAACAATAATTTAAGATACGGATTCAACAACGTTTATAGACTTGTTACGTGTGTATAGATATATATATGTACACATACATGATCGCATAAATAACAGTCGATCGAAAGCAAAGACGCGGCGAACATTATTACAAAATGTTAACAATCGTTGTTCGGCGGATGACGCGTGTACGCGGAAGCCGCGTCGTCCTCTTCTTACTAGAATGTAAGTTAACGCTACGCCGTGGTGTAGATTATTGCCATGTTACAGAGTACAAAAGAGAGAGAGAAAAAGAGACGAAAGGAAAGTCGAGTGTACGTGCGCGGGCGTGGACAAACGAGCGTATGCACGCACGAGCACGCGTCTCGAACGCGCGTCGTGCGTGCCGCGTTGACGTTTCCACGTGAGAGGAACGTACGAGAGAAACGCGCCGGGATTACAAAAAGGACTGGCCCCGCACAAAGGTAACGATATGTTGCCGATCGATCGATCGGTCCGGTCGAGATCGACCGGTGTGGTCCATTCTGCCGTGGGCCCTCTTCCGCTTCCGAATACCTAATACGCCGGGCTGGTGACGGCTGACACTTGTTTCGGCGTGTGCTGGCCCTGCGCCAGCGCTCCGCTCTTCGCCGCTTTAAACTTCAGCCAAGCATCGTAGCCGTACACCACCATTGCGCAAAACCCGAAGAACTGCAGACAGATCTCAGTATTAAACATCAGAGAGCTGTATCTGTTTGCCTATCACTTTAATGAAAAGAAAATACTCCAAACAGCAAAGAAACTTTAAACAGTTTGATATGCCTCTTTGCTGATCATGTTCTCCTGATACTTTGTCAGTTTCCGAGAGTCTCAATTTCCGTGATTTGAATTTTAAAAATCTGGGAATTATAATTCTTCAAAATTTAGATAGTGCCACCTCTTTGCCTATCATGTTCTCCTGATACTTTGCCAGTTTTCTAGATTCTCAATTTAAAGTTTGAAATTCTCATAATGCACGGTATTGTACAAAAGAATCCTTACCGCGGCCACACCAAAAGCCTCCGTGTAACGTGCATAGTCGGCTGCGAGGGAAGCGGCCAGCAGGTAGAAGACGGTCCATATCGTGCAGAATATGAATTCCTGAAATTACACGCGTGTCAAATTACAGCATAATGCAGGGTCACGTTTTCGACGCAACAAGAACTGGGGACGCAATTGGTGAAACGCACAATCCGCCGAGACGTTACGCGACATAATGAGACGCGCCTACGTAATGCCATACGTAACCTCGGCATTCTTAAAAGGTCAGCCTGATTACGAGCGATCTTGGGCACAGCATCGACGGCGACCGCCCTCGTTACGAACGCTCGCGATCGATCGTTCACCCGTGAGTATAAAAGTCCGCGCGCGGCGGGTCGATTTTTACATTCCTACGCGCACAGGAACTTTCTAGCGGGGCTTTCACTCCCTGCTCTTGTTATTCGCATTATACCAGTGTATTATCGCATCGACAACCTGTTCTCCGTACTGTACTTGCTCCCCATTTGCGTTTATTTTAAGCGCGCCTTTACGCAGGCGAGATAAAGGATCTCGCGAAACGGCCGACTAACGGCGCGCGCCGCGAGAGCGACTTACAATTTTAAGCCACGGAATCCTGACGAACTTCTCCACAATGTGGAACAGATAGAGTACGAGCAGGATCCCCGTGAACCAGAAGCCGCCCATGGCCACGGTATTGAACCATCCTCCCCGGCTGTGGCTGCTGTGAGTCGACACCGTTATGCATATAAATCCCAAGAGGTTTAGTACCTGAAAGAAGACCCCGGCGTGATTATCATTCATGAAAATTCCCCGCTGCCGAGCAGCTGAGCGAGCATTGTGCGCACAAATACAAAGCTTCGCCCCGCTCCTGCAGCCGCCGTGAGAGATTTGAGAATCCATTACCCGTAACGCAACCTTGGCTGCCTCGTTACCGGCCACCGTAATTCTACAATAAAATTCACGACAGACACGCGCGGTTTCGTGCGCAATATTTTAACGAGCCAAGTGTGGATCCGCCTCAACAGCTCTTCTGGCTCTTGACAATTTTCCAACTGATTAAGATTTTTATCTGCGAAATCCTTTTCTTTACGCGGTTCAATGGAAGCTCGAATGTGATTGTGAGGGCTTTATACCGCACGATTTAGCACCTTTCGTGCCTTTAACACGCTGGACTTTAACGATTAAAGCCAACGGCACACGGTACTATTTTTCCTACTGGATTGCTTGCGAGAACCAATAAGGCCTGGTTTCACCAACGGCGCTTATCTTTAAGCTCAGTTTAATTCGTTCTTTATCTCTTTCCAACCGTTACTTTAAAAAGAGACAAACGTGAATTAAACTAACAATTAAAGTTAAGCGACGTTTGGTGAAACTGGGCCTTAAGACTCAATCCTGATTGGTTCTCGTAAGCAATCTAGTAGGAAAAATAGTGCCGTGTGCCGCTGGCTTAATTCATGACTCGGGATCTCTCGTTAACGATCTCGAAGCTTACCAAGCTTGCAGAGCAACTCGAATCGATAATTTCTCGCGAGAATCGCTCGGCAAAATTGCTGTAAGATCGCACGAGCGAGGGATAAACGCGCGTCGCTCACCACTTGGACGATCTTCAACATGCCAGGCAATGTCCTCGCATATGACGGATCGAACCGCACGTTGGGCTGAGTCGTCGTCGTCGAGGTCGTCACGGTGGTCGTGGTGGTGTGCTGCCCCGGGAAACCTTGATCCATCTTCTCCGGTTACTCTAGAACTGTAACTGCAACGACAATGGACACGTAGTACGCGACGTGCTTGTATTCACGCCTTGCTCTTGCGAATCGCCGCCACCTCGTTCGACACAACGACGGCGATTCCTCGCAGGGGCGCGTCTCAAGTGGAACGGTCGACCGAGCATCGACCGGGCGGCGCGAGAATGAGGGGGATGAGGAAAATGTGGACCTTAAAATAAAGACCCGCCGACGCGGTGGCGTTTGTCATCCGCCGCGCGCTCGATCCGCGAGGCGGATTCGCGGCCTCCGCCGAGCGTCTTGAACGTCTCGAGAGAGAGAGAAAGAGAGAGTCTCTAGCTTTCCCCACGAAGGGCTTATTTCGGGAAATTGGATACGTGCAGTGAAGGAATCGATCCTCGATTTAAACGTCGTAAAGAGCGAGTGACATACGTACTTTCTAGACCGGCCGCTTGAGACGCAAAATTATTTCTGCGAGAAAAACAACATGCGAGGGACGTGCGTATGCAACTTGTACGTCGGGGATGCTCTCGCGCGGATGTCGGAGAAAATAGCACACGCTCTGATATTTACTATCGCATCCAGCGCGCTATCGATTGTCTCCCAAACAACTTGCCGCCTGTTTATAACTGAACGCACGAGTCGCGTCTCGCGTGGCTTTGTGCATCTGCCTCCGGTTGATCACGACTTCCTTGGGAAGCTATTCTCTTCTAGCCTACTTCCGATGGCGACAAACCGATACGATCGCTCGGCCACCTCGTCGTGAGCATCCTCACAAATCTTTTGCGTCGCGCGTGTCTTCTATAAGAAATATTAAGTTCTTGCGCAAATATTATTTTACTAAATAAACCTCTTAGAAGCCAGCCTGGTTGACCCGATGGGATAAACCGCTGAAGGCATCGTGGTGTACAGATTTGCGGTATTACTGGGCATTGCTACACCGAGAGACCCATTTTGTCAACTAAATTTTGTTTTATTCAACAAAATGGGTCTTTCAATACTGTACATGATTTTGGTCAGCGGTTTACCCCTCGGGTCGACCATCATAAACTCTTCGATTTTTTATTAATATTTTTAAATGAACGGAGAGAGAATTTTTATGCATAATTTTCTTAACAATAATCCCGGAGCACACTTCGTTTATCCCTTTACCGATTTTCTCTGCAGCTAATTTCGTCGGTCGGATCACCATTTGAAATGCTCGCGTAGAAAACAACGCTATGGTTCAATAAAGTAATATATAAATCGCAGGAATGTCTGAAAGTTTTAGCAACGCGTTCGGGCATCGATCGGCACATACACGAAGGACACACGCACGCTCCACCTGAACACGTGACTCTTCCGCGCTTCCCGCAATTAACGCTCAATTATTATGTGAGATCTCGCGCGCGGGGAGGGGGGAGGAAGGGGGACGCCGGAGATATGGCACTCGGCGATCGACGTCATGGGACGGGGAGATGAAAAGGCGGATCGATTACGGCGGCTATCGTGCAGGCGTAAAAGGCGTAAACGCGCGCGTCTGCGTCGACGATAACGGATGATCGGCGCGGCGTTGCCGAAATTATTTTCCGAAAATCCGCCGTGAAACGACGGGGAAGGATTCCTTTCCTTGGATTTTTCTTTTTTCAGCGGAGCGCGACCCTCGAAGAGGAAGACTGATGACGGAGAATGACCCCGTACGGGCCAGTTTCACAAACATCGGTTACCTGCTAACCGAAGAGATTCTCTGTCTCTTCGTAAATAATAAAATGGAAAAAGATAGGGTATCGACTGAACCCTAGTTAACAGTTAACCGATGTTTGTGAAACTGGCCCCTAAACGCTCAAGTCTGCCTTATATCCATTTCTACCAACGCAGTTTAATCCCGGTTCAACTTTGTATCTTTTTTCTAGTCTTACGAATTAGAAAATATATAGAAAGGAGAAGTGCCAATGTGAGCCACAGAATGAACGGAACTCGGTTCTCACAATGCAGAAACAGAATTTGTCTTTAATGTAAACGTTTCGACCCTCCTTCGGGTCTTCCTCAGTAAGACTCGTTTAGAATAGAGTTTAACTTAGGAGGTCAGAGCACCATGTGACTTCAGAATCATTCCTCTATATGCGTTAATATCAGTAGATCCCTAAATGGTCCCAGACATGAAGAGGACTGAATAACTCACTTCGACTTTGAGACCGTAACAACGGTGTTAAAAGGACTGTGACACAGCAGTATCGAACAAGAAGAAACTTAACAATAATAAATTACGAATTAGAAAAAGATAACAAGAGTGAGAGCACGTGTCCATACGCAAATGACTCCATTTTTTTTCTCCATTCGAGTTTTGTCACAAAGTAGGTACCAAACGAAAGGTCTCGGTCAAGCTGATTGCAGATATGTCGGAGATGTCGGGCTCCAAAGATTCCAGTCCATTCCAAACAAATGGTTGGTGCCTGTCCAGATAACTTCATCGCTTACGTCCTCGGAATTTTTGGGAGCCCGACATCTCTGCAATGTTTAAATAGGTCTGAGACTGGACATATCTGCGATCATCTTGACGAGACCTTTCGTTTGGTGATCCACTTTGTGACCAAAATCGTATACGGAAAAAATGGGGCCGACCTTTTCACTCTTTCCTCCGCTGTTCTTCACCGAAGGCTCGCCGCTGCGAGCTAATGGAGAAGGAGCGGTGCCTATCTCACTCGAGAGATCGCGCGAACCTCTCTCGAAGATGCTCTGGGGGCTCGGGTTAGAGACCGGCGGCGTCTCGTTTATTATGTCACTCGGGACGCGTGCCGCGGGAATTACTTAATCTCGCAACGCGTGAGGTCATCCCGACTGGAAATAGACGGTGACAGTTCGCGGCGGCACGGCAGCGCGAGGTGCGGCCGCGCACGTGGTCGTTAAAAGCCTCCCACGACGCGGCTGGGAAAGACGCAAGTGTCGATGATTTCGGCAGATACACCGCGTTTTCTCGCGCGTACGTAGGAAGTCACCGAGACTTACCGTACCTAACTGTATGATAAGGGATTATATTACAGTAATTGTCATGCCGTTGTAACAAAAAGACAAAAGTTAGAAGTTTTAATAGCTCGATACGTGCACAGAATGATTTCAAAGCAAAGAATCGATCGAGTATCGGAGGCCCTGGGAAGTTAAATTATCACCGTCCTCTGAAACGCGACGCACGTTAAATGAAATCTTTCGAAATTCGCGTGTTAAAATTCCTCGCAGTGAATTGCTGATTCGCATATTCCACATTATTGCGAATCCTATACTTGATCTCATCGATGAATAATCCCGCTACACTGTTATTCATGCGTCACGAGTGCAATGCGTAACGCGAATTCTTTTTTGCCGTCCTCGGGATAAAATTACAGTGCGATTTATCCGGGCAATCCAGCTCGGTGGCGGAAATGGCGACCGATTCAGCAGGCAGAATCGCTCGCGGCGTATAACTTCTAACTGTATAAATCGTCGTGCCTGCGAGTTAATCCTCCATAACCGGATTTCTTTCGCTTGTAAAGAAAAAACAACAACTGCCCAAGTAAATGAGTGAAGCAAGCAATTTATCCAAGTAGGTAAAAGTAAAAAAATTAAATGGACAATTGATTAAATCGCCAAGATTTAGAAAGCTCGCAATTAGATAAGCGATAACTTCCAAGTGGTTACTCGAAGATTAAGTTCACCCGAGGGGTAAACCGCTGACCAAACTCATGTACACCAATGCCTACCAATGTCCAGTGGACATTACTTTATCTTATCATCTTGTTTTACCTTATTTTATCTTAACAATGCCCTAGCAAGGCCTAGTGTCCAAAAAATGCCCACACTAGGAGACCCATTTTGTCGAATAAAACGAAATAATTTGATTGAATCTTTGATTGTTTGCAAACAAGAAATTCAGTCGAGTCGACTGAATTTTGTTTCATTCAACAAAATGGGTCTCTCAGTGTGCAGTAATGCCGCAAATCCCACAATGTCCTCCGCGGTTTATCCCTCGAGTTAACCGGAGCCTCGGAGTCCCAGGGGCTCAATCGCGAATCTTTTCCTCCAAAAGTGAAAGATTTCATTGAAGAATTTCACTGTTCGTCAATGGAATTTTTCACCTTTCACGAATTCACGCTGGAGGAAAAGATTCACGGTCCGGCCCCCAGGCGAGAACCGCGGGATCGGAGTCGTCGAAGAAAAACCCGCGTCTTATCGCGCGGCCGCGGGGAGATATCGGCGCGAGGACGCGCGTGTGGGTGGAGAATGAACGTCGCTGCCGCGACGAGACGCGGGATGCGAATCTAACGGCGCGACCGACGCCGATGGGGTTCGACGGACGCGACGCCATATCGGACGCCCCCCGGTGCCGGGGATCGATCTCCGAAGATCTGGCTCTCTCTCCCTTCCGCAACGGCGCGGCTCGCGTAGCCGTGCCGGAATTTTCCCGACACCGTCGATCGACTGCTTCAGACGCTCCGCGTCCATTTCATTGTAGATTGACTATAATTTTGACTTATTACTTCTTATCCTTTCTAGCCCCAAGAAGTAGAAAAAAATCATTCGAATCGAAACTGAAGCTAATTTACATCGGAGTAAACCGCTGACCAAAATCATGTACACCAATGCCTACTGATGTCCAGTGGGCATTGCTTTATCTTATCACATCCTATTTTATCTTGTTTTACATTTTCATATTCTTTATCGTGTAGTCCTACTGTGGCCGTTGTATCGGATAGACGTGCCTTCTAACACAGTTTCTCCGTGCGATATCCAGAGACTGATGCCAACGTTTTTAATATCACAATTTGACTAATTAATATACATATATATTTTTTATTTCCTTGAAAAGGGCGCAGTGGGTAACAATTATCACGGATTAATCTAATCTTGTCCCAAGGAGTATCTCGTCTTAATCGCTCGACGATGCCTGCCTGATCGCGCTCGATCGACGCCGAATTGCAACGTAAACAAACGCGTCGGCCTCTCCGCCCGCGGAGGAGTCCCTTCCGCGTCGCGCACCCGCGTCGTCCTCGTTCCCGTTAATCCTCGTCGTCCAAGTCGACCGTGGAAAGCTGTCAACGCGGGACTCATCGCGCCATTCATCGCCACTCGCGGCGGGTCAGCTACGCCCCGCGTCGCTCTCCCACGTTCGGGCGAGGGGAGGAGGAGGACGGAGCGCGGCCGTCCACACGTCGAATTAGCGGCGGCTATCGACTGGCTGCGCCGCGCGTCGACCCGCGAGCGAGCACGTCGACGATGAGCGCGATCGTCGGCGAGAGGCCGAGAGGACCGGGAACGTGTACGCGCTACTCGCGCGGCCCAATTCCGGCGCGCGCGCGCGCGCGCGCGCACGATTGAGCGGCGACGACGACGATGACGGCCGCGAACGCGCGTCGCGGAGCGACGAACTTTTGTTGTTACCTGTTTCCACCTGTTACTGGCTCCTCTCCGGCTCTTCTCTCTCTCCACCTTCTTCTTCTCCGCCTGAACGTCGAGTTCCGCGAGTCGTCGCGACGACGCTACACTTGCACCTTCCTCTCGTCTTTCGGCGACGGGCTGTAATCTCAACGGCGAGCCGCAAACAACTCCGATCCACAATCGTTGGCTCGAATCTCCGCTCCGCGTCCCGGCGTGTGTCGCAGCGTTTCCCTCTCCCCCTCTTCCTCCTACCGATCGTTCCTGTCGGGATAGCCGACCCTGGAGTACGCGGAGACGAGACGCCTCGCGTCGACGGCGGGAGAGCCCGGGAGATCAAGGTGGACTCGCGCAAATGAGTTTCGGAACGCACCAATGTCGCGTACATGGGTATGAGCTTGGAAACTTGGTTTACCTTATGCAGGATTCACACTGGATTCGAACGTACGATCATATAATATCGCCCGTGGTGTACAAAAGATCCTCCAGGATTATAAATCACTACAGGATATCATTGCAATCTTGGGTATGGACGAATTGTTAGAAGAAGACAAGCTTACGGTTGCGCGCGCGCGTAAAATACAGAGATTCTTGTCCCAGCCATTCCAGGTAAGAGAAAGTTTTGCGCGCACAAATTTGATACAATCCGTTCTCTGGAAATTGTAATTCCTAAAACACAGCTTACTTTCATAAATTATTTTGTCATTTATTGTTTTTCTTTATTTTCATTTAAATTGATGTTCTTCAAGAGATACAGTGTTATAATTTAATTTAATAAAAGTCTGACAATGAGTTAAAGTCGCGATACATTATTAAATTTATTATCAGCTCAAACTGTATTTCAAGACGGAAAGTTATCGGCGCACAGTTTTACTTGAAAAAAAGGATGTATAACGAAAAAATATCACTAAATACTAAAAGATCGGGTCTAACCGTATAAAGCGTTTCTGTTATTTATAATAATAGTCAAATCCACTTATTACTATTCAAATTTACGACTTTTGTTTAACATTTTTCTACAAAACACTCTCTACAAAATTTCCTGTATTATGTGACGTGGTAGAATCAAAGTTTAACTTTTTGTTGAATAAGTTACTGTTTTATTCACACTAATTGCACCATATAAGGATTCGATCATATCATTCTAGGTCGCTGAAGTGTTCACTGGCCATGCTGGTAAACTAGTACCATTACAAGAAACCATCAAAGGATTCCAGAAGATTTTGGGCGGAGAATTGGATCACTTGCCAGAAGTAGCGTTCTACATGGTCGGCCCAATTGAGGAAGTAGTAACTAAAGCAGAATCATTAGCCAAACAATAAAGTAACTTACAGTCATCGTAAAAACGTTAAAATACTATATTGAATCATCTTTTATTTATGAAAGCAACCTTTTAACGAAATTTGCATTTTATCATTTTCATTATAAGATTTAAAGAACAAGTATTAAAAGTATTCAAGTAACAAAGTATGAAAGATAAGCGAAAGTACATAAAAAAGATGTTAATAAAATCTTTATCGCAATATATTGTAATACAAGATTTGTTACCGTAATTATTAAATTTAAAGGGTTGCTTTATGTTTTACTTTTTATTACAAAGGCTCATAAGAAATTAGAAACATTATTCAATTTTCTGCATACATTAACATACACTACTTCTGGACTATCTCTACAGATCTAATTAATATGATTGAGTTATTACAAAATAACATGTACTGCAAAATCACGATGTATATGTTAGATATTAATAAAAGTTTTACAAAAACACAAATGTTTATTACATATCTTTATTTGAATAATTTTCAGTGGAAATTGTGGAAAAATAATTAATACAACATATAATTGAACTTATGCAACATCACAAATACAAATTTTAACAAAATCATATACTCTTTGTATTGATAAAGAACGTTAATAATTATTTTCCTTCGTCAAAATTAATCATTGCTTGTTCCAATCGGTACGCCTTTTTTAATATCTGAAAAAAGACATTTTGATTAACTTAATAATTTTAATTTTGCATATTTTTTCTACAATTTTAATATGCTTAATAAATTTGTTCTCAAATTAATAAGTTTGTTACAGAATGCACACTAAGCTAAATATTTATAAAATAGCTTTTATATATGAGTTTAAAAAAGTAACAGAATTTTATTTGTTGAAATTGATCGAATTTTAAATCCAATAGCTCTTTCAAGGAATTGAACTTACTCTCCATAGTTTCATGTTTAATGCTGTGACATTCTGAATATTTATTCTATTGCCAGATCGTTTTTCTTGCGAGTTCGTTTCCTTGCGATGATTAGATGGTTGTACAACAAGACTTCTACGATCTAAAAATAATCATTGAAATTTGATAATAAAATTATAGAACTACTTTTGTTTGAATAGAATAAAATATACCTTTTTTCAATTTTATTACTCCATCTTTTACAAGGAACGATATGTATAACATGTTTCTGATAGTCTTCCCAAAATCATGGGGATGCAGAATTAGTTGAAAGAAATCAAGCGATTTTCCTGTTTCCTTACAGTAACATGTAATTAACTTTTTAATCTTTGTCACAGTACGTTCCACACTATCTTCATCTTTTGCGTTTGCATTTGCTACTTTTTCAGGTACTGTCATTGCAGCTTGCAATGCTCTCTGCTCAGGTTTCTTCCTAACTATTGTCTTCTTCTCTAAAGGATCCAGTGTGCCTGAAATAAAAATTACAAGAAACTTAGCCTCTTGACATGAATAGGTACAAGTTTAAAATTATTTAACAGTGCTGTCTATAAAAAATATCTAGAAACATAAATAAATACACACGAGATTAATACTTATATAATAAATACATATTCTTTTGTTTTCAATGTCAATAATTGTAAACAGACCTAATAGTGTGTTGCTATTAGCAATTTTTTTAAACAGTTTTGTTACTCGTCTTTCTAAAAGTGACCAGTTTGGAGATTGTGCTTTTCCTGATGTTCCTTGCAAATGTTTTACCTAAGACATAAATTCGATAAAAATAATTATATAAAATATAAATAAAAATGCTTAGAAACAGCAATACAATATATTTGAAATAATTTTAATATAGATAATGTACACCGCCGGCTAAAAATTTGAGACACATAAAATTAAAAATATTTCAGTGAAACACTATATACAAATTTAATTGCTTTACTCAATATTTTTTTCTTAATTTGAAAGTAAATAAACACAATTGTAGTTTATATTAATCTTAAGAAAATGGACTACAGTTATAAAGCTTTTTTCTCCAAACTGAGATGTGGAACTATCTTGGAAAATGGACAGAAAAGTCTTGTATCAGAAAAACAGAAATTAACTTGTAGCAAGATTACCTAGATTAGTAAAAAAGCTGATTAGATACAAGAGCCACTTGGATGAGAAGTATCTAATATTTTTCATTTTGCATTATAGAACCTTCAAATATTTAATTGTTATTTCATAAAACGAATAAAATAATAAAAATTTGTCAAACTAATGTATACATTTGATTCTATTTAATAAATATTTTTAATTATGATCTCAAATTTCTGACCAATAGACAAATATAGATACATAATCTTCAGCAAATCTACCAATTTTTGTGAAAAGTCGACATAATCATAGTCACTCATTCTCTCAGCCAATGAAACAGTACACATTTTTAGCACTTTGGAAGATGACGTCATCATTTGTGAGTCAATAAACACCTCCTGCTGATTAGACACTACAAACATAAAAAATATTAGTAATGTAAGAAAAATATTGATATAGTAAATAAAATAATATATATATATATATACTCTTAGAAAGTTTTAGTTTTTAATTAAAATATTTATTCTGGCGTATCATTCAATGCATAAATGTTTTACATTATATGTTGAATTTGTATATATATATAATACAAAACTTTGAACAATACACCAACCGGTCTAGTAACATGCAGGATTGCAACCGAATCTGATGAGAATCTGAGAAAATATATCTATACCTTTTTCTTGTATGCTTGTTTCATAAGTAACACGGTCGACTTGGTTTATGGCTTCATCTAGCTTATTTATCGTGGAATTATTGACCACTTCCTCTGCAAATTATTCACTAATTAGTTGTATGTATAGATATAAGGCAAGAAGATAAAACTTAATAAAAATTTTTTTACGTAAAACAAGGGTTTGCTGCAAGGCACGCTTCAGACAATTTTTACGTTCCTTGGAAGACCTTGTATTGAAAGAATTAAAATCCGTTGAATTCTTGTTGTTTAACATTTTGAGTAAATGTTTGAAATATCAGCACTTTACAACTTCTCCTCTTTCTTTGGCACACAAATCACCTACAACGAGGTTAACAGCTGACACGACTAAAGCCAACGGCACACGATACTATTTTTCCTACTGGATTGCTTACGAGAGCCAATCAGGACGCAGAGTTTTCGATCAGGTGACTCAAAGCTGAATCCTGGTTGGCTCTCGTAAGGAATCCAGTAGGAAAAATAGTATCGTGTGCCGTTGGCTTAACCAACGTCGTAGTCAAGGGGTCTGTTCTTTATTGCTGTAATCCTAGGGTCTGTTCTTTATTGCTGCACTCCTGAACTAATGCACACTTGGCTGCGTAGACGAGACTTTATGCTGGGTCCACAATGAGAGTCGTTTGCGTGAAAGAACGATTTCATTTAAAATCGTTCAGTTACTTACGTTATTACAGTCATCAGATTAATAGAGCGTAGAATCATTTAGGATACGGCTCGAGACGATCTTAAACACAAGAATGTCTGTTTATTTAATTTTGTATTCGTGTTCCTTAAATATTTCGCACGATTCTTGTACATTGAAATGTTCAAAGGACTTTTGTAAGTTTCCCAAATTATTTCACCCTGGAAGAAAACTTTGCCCATTTAACTACAGTGATTTATTTGCTACACAGACTTGCTTTATATGATTTATACAGACTAAAGGCTACTGGATCCTTACTGGATCCTTAGAAAAAATAATTACCTATCTTTGGCTTCACCTATTTCAAAACAGTCATTTAAAACTGCGTCTCGACGTCCACTGCCTGTACAGAGATTCAATCGTGAATCTTTTTCTCAAGCGTGTTTCCTCACGAGTTCATGCTAGAGAAAAAAACGATTCACGATCGAGCCGTTGAAAATCTATAATACACGTGACGCGTGAATCGTAGATTTTTAGCGCGGGCAGTGAATATCGGAGCACGTTAGGCGAACAGAAATACGCAAGTCGCGATGGTCTACGTTCACCACGTCTACAGTTTGCCCACCGTAGCCACATGCCACATGGGCGAACGTCATGACCGTCATGACTCATGAGATTTGTTTCTGCGGTTAAACTTGTGCACTTTCCTGCTCTCTTTCCCCGCAACGAGCCTAATTGTATACACCTGCCTCGCTTCGAGTGCAGGTAGTATCGCATCGGTGCAAAGACCTACATCCCACGCTACGGCAGGCATCTGGGTCTGGGAGCAAAGGACATCCATGGCACGCACAGTAACGCGGAGAAACGAGGTGGGGCGAGGGTCAACCAGTGGATGACGGAGCGGATTGTCCGGAGGTCGTGGTAGCCGGGGGACCAGAGACACTTGGAGCAGTCGGCCCCGAGCTGGAGACCCCCGTGGTACGCAACGGTGCGCGCGTTTCTCACTCGCGAGGTTAGCCCAGTGCGATGATTGTAGGTGACGTCGAGCGTCGATAAGCGAACCTGCGAGGCGCGACGATGGCGACGGGCAAGCGACGTAGCATCCACACGTCGTCCGGGAACGCCGGCGCGTCCGGCTACCCGAGCAATGGGCCGCGCTCGAGCCGGATGAACTTCCGGCCCAGCGGGGCGCAACAGGAGGACCGCGGCGGCACCCGACCGACCGCGGCTCCGAGCTCGATCGGCCTCATCCTGGTCACCATGCTGCTCCACGTGTGCAAGAAGTCGCTGCTGTTCGACACGCGGCTCAAGGTGGCCATCTACTGCGGCACGATATTCACCGTCTCCCTGATCGCGGACTTCGTCGCGATGCCGCGCACCTACTTCTCCAGGTCCGACAACGCCCTGAATCAGTACTTCGTCAAGTGGGGCTGGGGCTGGCTGCTGTCCATCCTCGTGCCCTGGGTCGTCCTCACGGCGCACACGCTGGGCTGTGGCCGCCGGCCGCTTCTGCTCAAGCACCTGGCCCGCGTCGTGCTCGCCACCGCCGCCTGGCTCGTCTGGACAAAGCTGTTCAACTACATCGAGACCAACTACGGCAGGTGCCTGGGCACCCGCGACATCCTGATGCAGTCCAAGGCCAAGTGCCTGCAGTCTGGTAGGTTCTGGAGCGGCCTCGACATATCCGGGCACACATTCATCCTGATCTACTCGAGCCTGATCCTCGCCGAGGAAGGCTCCTCCCTGGTGGGGTGGGAGGGCATCAAGGACCTGGTAATGCGGGAGGAGCACACGCGATCCGTGCCGACCGAGATCAGCACCGGCCCGTTGCGAAATCTCTCCGACGGCGACCTGGAGTTCCTGAAGAAGGCGCACCGGGCGCTCACGCCGTATCTACGCGGCCTCTTCGTGGCGATGACGTTGCAGCAGCTGCTGTGGGACATCATGCTGGTGTCGACGATGCTCTACTATCACATCATGATCGAGAAGTTCCTGGGCGGCGTGGCCGCCGTCGTTACGTGGTACGTCACGTACCAATGGTGGTACAAACTGCCCAAGATCGGCCTGCCGGCGCCCGGCGACGGCCTCTTCAAGTACAACGAGGTGAAGGCGAATCCGGAGATGACCGCCAGGGTGCGACGCAGCACATTGAACGGCGCCAATCAGCCGAGGTTCATGGGAATGCCGATCAGAACGATGCAAGAGACCGCGGAGCCGAGCCCGTCGTCCAGACAGGCGGACCTCGACGTGCCTGCTTCGAGGGGGTAGAGACGCATCGCCCTCGACAAACTGATCGCTCTCACCGTCGGGGATTCGCATCCCCTTGGTAGTTAAACGCCTCACGATCGCGCAGCGTGGACCATCTTTTACACAGGGACCGAGTACTCGGAGAATATCTAGATATATGTTTCACAAAGAAATTTCCAATTCGATACTTAATTTTTAATTCGACACTTGAACAACTGAAGCGTCGCATCGAGGACGGATGTAACATGTATGGTATTTAATTAAGTGTCCAAACATAGGTCTCCTTAATATGCTTGAGTACAAAGGTCGAGTCGAACGTAAGAATTATAATGTCGTCTGTGAAGGTTGCCTTCCTTTGGCTTCCTACTCGTAAGCAAAAAGGATTACAGGCACCCGCGTATGCACTGGGACATTGTCGACTTGGGGTCAACGCGGAGAATCGAGCTGCTCGAAGCAGCTTCCAAGTTATTTAAACTGCTTTTAAGTTATTTATAATAGAATGATAAATGGGAATGTACGCCCTGTTTTTCTGGTTGTTGGATTGTTGTTAAGAAAAAAGACACGCTTATTGTTACTTCTGCTTAACGTTTAAAGTCGGTGTCTTCGGTTACACACTTCTGATTTTTGTTTTGTAACTTATATTTAATAAAGTCTGTTATTAACAAAGCGTTCGTTTTTCTTAAGTTAACAAGCTGTTCACGACATGAAATTAGCGTAGCGTCTATATAGCCATGCTATTACACACGGAAGGAAAGTACAAAATATATATGGTTCTCGTTATGAAATCTTGCTCCCCTCGCGTGTAGTACAATCATTGCATTTAAGAGAGTATGTATTCTTTATAGGTTTTAAATTATTCTTCCGCGCCGTTAAACGGAAGATTGTCTAATATCGTAATTCACTAATCATTTTCATTGAATGCTTCTAACTTGGCAATAATGAAAACTCCGCATTCTGAATTGTGTTATGAAAAGTAATATATTGCAGTGCATCGTAATAACAAAACAAGTACACAATTTGCAAGATTTGTTGTAATAAATTTATCCTTTTGTTACAGACCGAATCTTGTCCATTAATGAAAAGTGACAGCATCGTATGTCTGATCGATAAACATTAGCTTATATTGGCGTAGACACAACTTGTGCCTACTTCATGGAAAATAACATTAATTTAGCAGCATCCTGGCTTATGATAACAATTGTAACAAAATGAATTTTCTATTGTTGATTTTGCCTACGCGCACGACTGCACGGAACAATTCTCATATTTGGCAACATAGAGATCCCCGACAATTCACTCTACGGTGTTTAATACTTTGAACGTTAGAATAAAAGTAGACATTTGTACAGACACGACAATGTACATCGGTTAATATCATCTCACTAGTCTGCTTTCTGTTTCAGAAAAATCGTAACTCATCGCGATTGGAGACTCCTTAGCGCATATATGCTACGAAAATTTAATTAAATAACAATGAATACAATTAATCGGCATGTAGGAAGATGCAAGATATTATACTTCCTCAGTATCCATAATATATTTCTTACGTTTTACATTTTACATAAAAATAATCACTCGAATGTTATTAAAACGCAATCGCGACGAGACTGTACAGTATCAATCATTATGTTTAAGCGCCTATCTAAGAAAACGAGGAGTCTAGTGAAGAAGTAAAACGTAAATAATCGGATTCGACCCTGTATTGTAAAAATGAAAACATATTTTTGCTTATATATACCACCACAATCTAACAGGCCTCGCATATTTCGTTATTTCGTGATGGTGATGGCAGCTAATTATACAGTGTACTTAGATAACATTTAATACATACGTATCTATCCGCATTCACAAACAGAGATCGAAATACCGAGATGGGTTTCGTTAGCAACTGTATATACCAATATCGTATATATTTCTATTTTCACAAAAATCTTCGATTAGATCTCGCACGTGTGTTGGATCGATCAATCAAATATATATTATACAACCGAGATCATTAATGTTGTGGTGTCTTATCATACATCGATATTACGATTATACTATTAAACCTGCACGATACAATCAATTATAGATTTATATTGTACTTTTCATGCATTTTACAAAAAATACAAGCGAATAAATATAAACTCGAGACTTAACAATTAATTACAACTGTACTATAATCTCCTAAAAATTAAAACTGATAATCTGTATATTGGTATACCATACGTTGTATCGAAATTGATCTTAGATCGCTTTCTTTTCGATCATATGAAGGTATTTGTTACACCGTTTTCGATCCCTGTTCACAAAGAGCCCACGCCATCAATCAAGTTGATTTTAAACCTTGGATCTCTTACGTGCGATCGCATCCTCCACGGCCTTGAGTTGCTTTAATAATTCCTCGCGTCGTGAGGTCGCCTTCTTGGCGGCCTTGGCCGCCGCCGCGGCCACTTGCGCCTTGTTGTCGATCGTCGGTGGTGACTCGATACCCCGTTTTCTACCTGCCATAAGTGCACTACGGTCGACCTTTTTCACCGCCGTGGTGTTAGTCGTGGGCTTGAGCGTTAGCTTGATTTGCTGCTTCGCGCCGCTCAGCTTCAATGCATCGATGCCTTTGGAGTCTTTGCGCGTTATCGGCGGTGTCGAACCCTTTCTTCTGCGCGCCTCGCTCGAGGACGACGAGTAACTCGATTCGCTGGAGTCGCTACTACTTCCACTGCTCTCCGAACCTGAGGTACTGTGAGACGATCTGAAATATTTATTCTTTTCTTTTCTTTTTCTCCATGCAACATCAAATGAATGTAACATGTATCGGTATGGCTTTCGAGAAAATGAGAATTTGTTAACATTGCTTTTCGCGTTCCTACACTTTTAATTTAACTACTCGTTAATTTACTAGGTAAAAGACATCTTTTTTACCTAGATCTAGAGCGACTTTTAATGATCTTAGCCACAGCAGCCGCAGCCATAGCGGCCTTTTGCTCCCTGGCTTTTTCGTGATGGCGATGAGACGTGAGCGGGCTTGGGGCAGGTGGATTCAGTCCGGCCCGTCGATGCAGCGTACCGGTTGTAGGGGAGATAGAGCCCTTGGGCGGGCGAGGAGAGGGAGCGGGAGGATTCATTAGCATCGCACCTCGCTGAGGCGTAGCTGCGGTGACAGCCGAGGGATTTGCAGGTGGTGAAGTAAGAACAGTGGATTTACTTTTGCCAGAAGAACGAGTTCGAGATGGTGGAGAGGGTGAACGAGACCTGGATAGGGAGTCGTAAGAACTGTAGCTAGAACGACTGGAGCTACGGCTAGAACTAAAAAGACGATACTCTTATACGTTTTCTGTTTATAACAAAATAGCACATTTTTTGACGAAAAATGCACGCAATTCTCGACTAATGCATTATCTTCTCTTTCTCCGCGCGAGAAGAAGTGAATCAGCGAATGTATTATTCTCTCTTTCAAAAAGTCATCTCCAGATCTTCCAAAAATGTCTATACGTAAAACGTTCTTTTGCAAGACAACTCTAATGTGATGAATTGCATGCGAACACGCGTAATACCTCGTCGAAGAGCCGTACGAGGACCCGGACGAGTAAGACTGCCGCCTTGAACGGCGAGATGATGTGTTGTGGCGTCTAGCGTTCGGGGACTTGTGTCGCATCCACGGGTCCGCCCAATCGTCGCCTCTACTCCGCTCCGCAGGAGGTTGCTCTTCCTCTCGCCAAGATTTCGTCGGAGGGATACGCTCCACAATGACCTCCCGCGACGGCCGTTTGTGCTTCTTCTCGTACTTCTCGTAGTAATCGCGCTCCCTGTCGCGCTCCCGATCCCGTTCTCTCTCGCGATCGCGACTGTGCGGCGGCGGAGAAACTGAATGCGCACCACGAGGAATCGCATGGTAGTCAAAGCGATCCCGATAGTCGCGAGGCTCTTTGTACTGCACTCGTCTGGTAGTCGAAAAGAAAGACAAGTTTTAAAATTGCGGAGCGTCTTGTAGAATTGATTGTATACAAGTTGCTTTTTAAGGAATAATCAACTTGAAGACCCCTAACTAAAACTAAACAACATATGAGAAAACGCGTATATGAATTCACATGTTTAAATATAAAAATTACAAGTTGGGCTGCCTACATTTTGCCTTGTGACCCACATTGGCGTTTTCTCATATGTTGTTTAGTTTCTCTTTAAAGCTTCGCCATACATGACCGCGTCGCTGTCTCACCTGTAATAGTCGGTTGACGCGGACGGAGGAGGATAGTATCCCTCGGGTTCGTCGGCATATCTCTCTGGCGTGAGTCTAGAAGACGATACCCTGCGCGGCGCCTCCCGTTGCGGCCATCTCTCGATCGGCGGCTCGGGACTGGGCGCTCTCACGTAATATCCCGCCTCTCTGTCTAGCTCGTCCTGCCCTAAACTCAGGTTCATCTTCTTCTCTTCGAAATCCATGTCCGATTCTTTGCGCTTATTGGCCTTGCGCATCATCTAGGCGATCGGGCAAGAAAATATCGCAAGTTCGCTTATAAAATATTGTAAACGGTATATGTGCGTAACGCGCCACGTCGTCTCGCGTGCAACTTACTTCCTTGGCGTGGCGCAGACCTCGCTCCCAGGCGGATTCGGTTGGCGTCTCTTCCACCTTGGGTGCGTGCGTAGGAGCACCGTAACTAGACAATGACGAGCGCAGACTCGGTCTGTCGATGTGCGATCTATATTCGTGTTGCGTGGTGGCGTGCGGCGGATACGTCATAGGCCTCACCATATCGAACATAGTGTAGTTACCTTTGTCCGTCACTCCCGGATGCAAAAATCTACAGCTAACACCCCATGTACATTGGCCCCGACTATAGAAACGACACACCGGTCTCGGCTCGGTCTCCTCCGGCCGTGCGTCATCCCCATCGCTAAGCTCTCCCTCCTCCAACTCAGACTCCTCTTTCTCACCTTCCTCCCCCTCCTCCTTGTCGTTCACCTCGCCAGACTCTTTCGACCTGGCCTTGTCCTTGTCTTTATCTTTCTCCTTGCCGTCTTTCTCTGCGTTCTCTTTAGTATCTTTCTCTTTAATGGGCGCCTCAGCTTCACCTGAAATTTTGCCAGCTAGGGTAAATGCAATTTCGAAACGTAAGAGTTGGATTTGAGACTTGAAATTTATGTAACGTATTTACCTTCGTCACGTTCGTCTTTCCATTGACCGTCGGCTTCGAAGTCCAACTGCTCGCTTTCCTCCGTCAGGCCGACTGGTGCAATCTTGTCTTCCTTCTCTGCACTTTCTTCGTCATTCGTGGATTCTTGCTTGGCGTCCTGTTCTTGAGCCTTGTCTATTTCCGCGTTCTGCTCAGCAGAGTCTTCAGGGCCGTCCATGCTGTCGAGATCAGACACGTCCGACAGATCCTCGCCGTGGGTCATAGGCGTGGGTTTAGATTTAGACACGGGCTCTGGTTCGTCCTCAATGTCCCCATCCGAGATTTGCTCGCCGTCCAACTCGTTGTACGAACCGTTCTTTTCTTCATCGGGAGACCGAGGACCCGAGTGCGCCGGCGAGGGCTTGTCCGACTCCTGATCGTCCATAGGAGACGCCGGGCCGGATTTGAACGACTTCGGCGAGCTCCTGGCCGATGTCAAGGACTTGACGGAGCTCGGGCCTGATCTGGGCGACTTTGGCGAACTCTGCCTGGACTCGCTGTTCTTATACGAGTACGACTTCAACGAGTTGTCGGCGGATCTGGGCGCGTCCACCTCGAGGTCAGACGCCTTTGACTCGGCGTCTCCGAAGCGCATGGACTTGGAGTCGTTCGACGGGGAGAGGCACGAGCTGTTGTCCCGTATGGGCGAGCGGGACAGGCTGCGGTCCGATCGGGGGGAATCGAGAGAGTCGTTTCCCGAGCGGTAGGACTTGGGCGAGTCGGTCGGGCGATATGTCGGCGACGCGGGCGGGCGATATGTTGGCGATATGGGTGACGGCGATAGGGGCGGCAGAGACTTGGACAAGCTACGGATCGACCGCGGCGAGCCCTCCTCGCTGGGAGACATTATCCCGGACCGTTGCGACTTGGGCGACAACGGGATGGACCGCGGCGACTTGGACTCGCCGCCCGACAACGGCGATCGGGGGGACTTCCCGCCGGAGAAGATGGAGCTCGCGGCGGACTTGCGTCGCTCCGAGCCGGACGAGTGGTGCGAGTAGCGTGACGACGTCACCTCGTCCCCGGCCGAGGCGAGCCGGTTCCTGCTGCCCTCGTCATAACCGTCCGAGGAACTGTCCGTGCCGGAGTCGGACATGTCGGACACTCTGTGTTTCAGCCTGTAAATCAACGAGACTCGTTAGGAGGGCGATCTTTCAGACGGACGGGATCGGGAGTGTCTCGACTAGATCTTTAAACGTAAAACCCATTCTCTCGCTCTCTCTCTCTCGCTCTCTTTCTCTTATCTGGTAAAAGTTAACTCAAGTGTGTTTTTTTTTTGCTTTTAGGTGTACCGACCGAATGTAGCATCACTGAATAATCTGCATCAGTAGCATCACAGAGCTTACCTGTGTCGATCAGAGTCTGTGAAGTATTCGCTCTTGATGGCACAACGCGCGCGATCCATATCGTGTCGAACATACTTTCTTACACAACTTTCGACCCTTTCTCTCTCTCTTTTTTTACCCTCGAAACTTTTCTCTCGGTACTTTATTACTCAAACTGAGAACTTGGCGCGCTCACATACGCGATACTTTTTCTTCGCGCGGAACTTTTACTTCGTTTTTTACCGTCGTTTTGAACTTTCAACTCGGACACAACACAAACTAAGAGAGTTACTGATAAACCACGAACCGTTTCTCTTTCTTTCGTACCGCACTTAGCGAAACTATAGAACGAACTTTCAACCTGAAAGAATATTTTTTTGGGCCTATTGAGAGGGGGGGGAGGGGGAGAAGAAGGCAGAGACGGAAAATGGAAGCGGAGCGAGTGGGCGAGAATGAAGAACGAGAACATGAGGGAAGCTTCAATGATGGCGTGTCCTAGTAGCGTTAATGATTGTTTCTTGGGCAAAGTGTAATTCGGTCAATTACTCGAGACAGCAACAGGTTCTGAACTTTCGCAAGTGAGAATCGCCCCGAGTTCTCCAGGCAACCGCAGCTGAAGGCTCTCTTCCGTTTTGCCCACAGAATTATACTTTGCCACTTGGATAACGGTTGTTCGGGGGGCGTTAATTCACTAAATACAGTCTGAAGAGAGTATTGCGGACGCGTGCAACGTGTTACAAAACGTCAAGGGACATCCGCGGTGTCGATTGCGGTAATAATGCTTGGTCAACGGACGAGCAGGGGGGGGGGGGGGGATGAACGACTTTTCGCAACCGGCTCCGCGCTAGCGTGGACTCTCGAATCCGCGGGAGAAACGTATGCGCGAATTTTGCTCTTACGAAAGTCGATCGAGGAATTGTCGACGTGCCAATCGGTCTGCGGCCTTTCTGCAAGAGCAGTTCGCGCGCACGGTCTCCCTGGTAAACGAATCCCAGAATCCACCCCAGACCCATAGCGTGTCTTTTCCCCTTTTTGCTCCGAATTGTCGCGACCGGCGAGGAGACCAAGAGGCGCCCAGCCAGGGTACCGTCCGGGAGCTTCCCTTCCGCGCGGTACCTCGCGCCATCGCTGATACGCGCCGCTTATCTCCGCGCCAGGCAAGAAGGTTAAAGCGGAAGGTTAAGGCGACGGCGCCGCCGCGATTACCGCAATCGAGACTGCGACGCGAGGAAGCCGCGGGACGTGCGAAACATGCGTGCGTGCGTGCGGGTGGTGTTCGGGTGGCGCGTGGGGCGGGGGGTGGGGGTGGAGGGGGGGGCTGGCACACAGGTCGGCACGGTTATCGTTTCCGCGCCCTGTCCGCGGGACGGGGGACGTCGCGGCGGTTGCGGTCTTACCTTGGTCGCGCGTTACTGCGAGAGGGCCTGCGCGGGGCCTCGGGGCCCACGGCGGAGACTCGTGAGACTCTAACGAGGCTCCCAGAGGCGGCCGGTGTCACTCGCGGATGCTGACGTTTACTTTCGCCAGCGCGACGAGGCTCGGCGACCCGCGAGATACTCCTCCACGACGGGCGACGCGCGCGCGAGTCTCTTCCCCTCGCTCCTTCTCCACGCTCCCCCCTGGCTCGCGGAGAGATACGTACCGAGATCCCTCGCGCTCTCCCGTCGGCCGCTCGTCGCAGATCAACACCACACCGTCCTCGCGAAGAGAACAAAGCACAAACGCCGAGAGGGAGAGTAAAGAGAGCCGCGAGAGGGAACGCAAGGGGGAACGCACGTCCGTTCCGTCGGCCATGAGATTGATCGAGATCGCTAGATGGGCGTGCGAGTGACGCGAGTAGCGCGCGGTTCGAGAACGGACGGATCGACCGATCGATTGTCGAGCGGAGTTCTCTCATTGGCCGCGCATCCAGCGAACGAAGTTGCTCGGCGAGCGCTCGCGCTGATTGGATCAACGGAGATGCCGGGGCGATTCTGCACCTTTGGCACCTTCTGCTCCTATCAGAGCACTTATCTAAATGCGTAATTTTCTCCGCTGAACGCAGTTATTAACTTGTAGACACCACGCAATTTCTCGCTAGGGGGTGTATTGCGAGTTTCTAATAGATCTTACAAAAAAAAGTAAAAAAGAATGAACAATAAAATTCTTTCTTCTTGTCACCAGCAATATTAAAATAAAAGAGATAAAAATGCTATATTGTACAAAGTTAGTCGGCTACTAACGTTCGTCTGTTCAAGACATGGCTCTCGAAGTAAACTTTATTTCAATTATGGACCACTTTACAAAATACGCAAACGAAGTAATATAAGAGATAGTAACACTAAATTTCTTGCTCTGTTCATTTCTCCTTCGAACATTTTCTTTCGGCAACTTTATACGGCATCTTCTCTGATGCGTTTATTTACAAGTGACAAAATGTAAATAGTTTCTTTAACTTTAAATAATTAAGTAATTTTTAATAAAACTTTATACGTGAGTCGCATCCAATCACGGTCTTACCATCGCAGGCTTATAATGCACACCACAATCAGCAAGTGTTATAGAAAACTCTTCGAAGGAAGAAAGAATGAGTTACATCAATTCGCTTTTAATTTCTTATAACATTACAAAAGTCTGAACTTACGTATTCACTAATTACCTAATCTAAGTAAAAACACCTCAATTCGTAATATCGAAATAGTGCGTACTTACATTTTCATATTATGCTAAGTTCTTAAAGTATATTACATTTTCATATTACGCTAAATAGTTCTTAAAGTACATTACATATGTGAGGCACACACTTCTAGCCTTTACAATTGATATCAAATGTAAAATCAATGATAAATGTAAGCGTAATATTCAGTAAATGTAAAACGCTGTATTAAATTATTAATTTTCTTATTGCAGTTTTTCTTAAGTTACATATATCTTATCTGATATAAATTATATACGATGTAATAACAAAATGTAACAAAAATATGATATAAAATATAAGAGTTAATATTATTGTAGCGCAACAGATCTATACACGTAAAGATATTCTAAAAAAAAAACAATTTAATCTAGAAATTAATGAACTTACAAACAAATAATTTTTCGTTTAACATTGACAACGTTTACAAAAATGATAGAAAATATTGTACACATTTCGAATACTGTATCTCAGTCATGACATATTTACGCAAACAAATTCGAATATACTGAGTTAAAAGATGTCTTAAACTATCGTCCTAAAGTTATCGTGTCCGCAACAGAATAAATACGATTTAATTCCAATGCTTTGTTCAAGACACGAAAGAAACCACCACTTATTCTGATTAAACTTTTCTACAAACGTCGCGTTTGTTTGTTCGTTTTAGCTGATTTAGCTTAAGCAGAACCCTAAATTATTAATCAGCTGCACCTCGCATAATGCCTTTACTGTCTGGTGGCTTTCCAAACTTATAAGCAGAGTATAAAAAGAACATGATCATGATATCAATTATAATCAATATTTATTAATATTAATACTCGCTTTACTCGAACAAACATCCAATACCCTAACGCAACAAGATTCCAATAATCTTTGTTAGAAACAAAAGTTTATATCTCATGAATTAAACTATGTGGAACAGCAAAGATAATCCTAAATCTTAATTTCTAAGTTTGATTCGCAGTTTACTGCTAAAGATATTTCGTAACTGTTAATTGAAAAATTTATCAAAAAAATATTAATTTCAATATTCGTCAGAAAAACTTGTTATTAAAATATTACATCTACAAGGCATCGCGTCATGTGTTTGCTTTCTTATCGCATTAATATCATCATCTAACACAGCTTATTTATCTATTACATTGTAGTTATCTCGGTATTGTTATCATTTATATCCATAAAATGCAATTTATCTTCTTCGTCGAATATCGATCCATCGTCGGACAACTCGTGTTCCTGGCTCATGAAAATGTACTTGGTTTGCGCGTTCGTATCACGTTCCTTTTTGTGCGACTTTTTAATAGAAGTCGAACGCAGCAATTTTACGAATTGTATCGAGGTCAAACTATTTGGAGGCGTCGTATTCAGAAACTTGGATGTCATAATACTTTTTGCATCTTCAAAATTATCCCTTCCTCGACTTGTGGACGGCTGAGGACTGCCGTAATCAGTCTCATTATAGCTGTAGTCTTTTTCACGCGCAATACCGCATATTTCATTCTCGGCAAGGTGACTGTCGTCACGATGCTTCATGGACGAAGCTGTACGTTCACCCAACATCTTATTACTGCTTGTAAAACTGACGTGCCCACTCCTGTTACGGCTATGCTTATCCTTCCTATGCGACATTTTAATGGAATCCTTGTTATGAAGTAGCTCCATCGTCGACATATTTATCGGGGTCGATCTACCATTCTTGTCTTGCGCATCTGCTATCTCCAAAACGTTCGTGTCAGTCTCAAATTCTGTGGCGGTGGCGCGTGTCGACGAAAGATCCTCGTTCTTCCTGAATTCCTTGAAACGCGCGACTGGCGTCACGCATCTGGAATAATCAATCTCGTTCGTTGCTTGTGCAGATTCACCTTTCTCCCGTGACATCTCGTCCGCGGGAACGTAATCCGTGACAGTGAGCAAGATTGACGATTTCTTAATCGGAGTGTAAATCTTAAATTCGTCATCTATATTCTTGCGTGTCGACGACACGAAGGTGCTCGGCATCTTGGGTGTACTACTCTGCAAGGATGTAGTTCTCGACCTCTTCTTACTTTCAGACGATACAGAAGATGCTTGATTTCCAAGAGACGCAAGATGTTCGTGGTGTCCGGAGAAACTGCAAGTTCTCTTGCTACGTTTATCCTTCTGATGCGACTTTTTGACCGAATTAAAACGAAGCAGCAAGAGTCTACTTGAATTCACATTCTCGGGTGTACTCGGTCGGCTGAATTCGAAATTCTGCGGACTCGAGACACAAATGGTATCGGCCGTCCGACTTTTAACATCTTGATCGTCGTTACACGCAGTCTCGAGTGATATCTCAGATCTTGCCGATTCCATTTCCTTACAATTTCTCGCTTGAAATAATTGTTTTCTATTTCCATGTTTCATCTTCTTATGCGACTTTTTGATCGATTCTGTTAACAAGTGCTTTAACACGTTTCCGTGATTCTCGGGTGTAACTACTTTGCCAGCGTCTTGAGAAGCAATTGGATTAGATTCTGGAGACGCTGTTCTTCCTTCGCTCGGCGTACTGGCATTACCTGACGACGATTCCTTCTGCCAAGACAGCCAACTTAGTTCTTCACTGCAAACGTCCTCCTCGGAGCGACCCTTTTCCCGTTCGTCATCCATGAGATGCATGCTAACTTGCATACTTTTTTCGTGACTCTTAGAATCGCTGGAATCAACAGCCCGCATTTCGTCGCTCTCTATTTGGTCCAATCCGCTTAGATCAATTTCCATTGGCGTCTTCTGCCGCATACTGCGATCGCTGTCCGATGTAACGTCGGAATGTTCATTATTCAAACTGTAAACAAGCGTCCTCTTGGTACTTCTATTTTTCTTTCGAGATTCATCTTCGGAAGCAGTGCTGGTTTCAGCAATCGCACCCATTTCCGAAGATTCTGTCGACGTTCCTGGAACCGAGTCATCATTTTCTGTAGAAACATCCGGCTGTCGAGCAGATGATTGTTCCTCATGACAATACAACTTTTCCTGTCGAGATAAAAATGTTGTTATACGTCGAATAAATCAGAAATATAACAAAATTAACGAAAAGTAAGTTGTTTCATTCGGCAAAATTCGGCAGGAATGAAAAAAATCTATTGTATTTGTATCTAACTTTACTTGGTACTGAATCTATTTTAACAAGATGATAGTTAAATGTCATATTTTTTATGCACAAAGTTACATATAAAAAAAATGTGAAAATTGCGCAACAAAATATAATTGCATATATGTACCTTCCTGTGGCTGTTCTTGATAGCACTTATACTTTCTGGAACTACTTTGATCACGTTCTCAGGTGTGTGCGGCCTATCGTGTATCTCCTGGTTAAACTCCTGAGACAGATTCCTCGGTGTACTCGCAGTTATAACGCGGCTGGATCTATTATCGAACTGGTTGCGCCAGCGAAGGAAATGCGAAGATGTTGGATGACTTGCGTCCTTGTAGGCTTTTCCCTTTCGTTCATTCTGAAGCAACGACATTAAATAAGACGTTCTCGTCCGCCCCCACGTAAATTCCGCCTCTGTTTCGTCGCTCGACTCATTGATACGCTTGTGCTTTCGAGTTTGCTGAGGCGTTTGATTCTGATTCTCGTCGATAGATTCCGCAGTCGGGACGGTGTTACTGTCGGTGGAAGTGGTCAGACTTGTGTCCAACGTGGACGGCGTGTCGGCGTTGATCGGACTGTCAGAATTTTCGTAGCTGCTGCTCGTCTTCGGACTTGGAGTCGAGTCGAAGGTGAGTAATTTCTTTATTCCTATGTCTTTGCTACGAAACGAACAAGAAGTGTTGCTGAGCTGTCTCATTATTTTAGCCGACCTGGACAATATTCGTAAGTGACTGTCTGGACTGGAGTCGTAGTCCAGGGTCGAATTTGGCGAATTTGACGAGTTCGGCGAGTTGACGACGTAGTAACTTGGTGACTTTTTATCTGCGACATCGTACATCCAGCTTTTGCTTTTGTAGTAGAATTGAAATTGATTTTTCCGCGGATACTGCCTCGACACCGCAGAGAGCTTGAACGGATGCTGCATAAACGTCACCTCGGTCGACGGCATTAAACCTATGTATATATTGTCCTCCAGTTTTGGGCTCAAGGCACTGTCTTTGCTATCGTTGCCTTTCATTTCTGCTCAGATATCTGCTCACTCAGGCGCAATTATCTTTATTACTGCATGTGTAATATACTTGAATCGTACATATACAAGAATGCACACGTTGTAAACAGGAGTGTGGCTATTTCATAAAAGGATTACTCTGCGCTGTCTATTTATGGAGATTGTACATCCGATTGGGCTTCCCTTCTCGTAAAGCTTCCTGTAACAAAACAGGACCACTTAGAGAAAGAAGATAACGTACAAACTATTCGCCGAGTATCTGTGCTCTAAACAACTTTATTAAGCTGCTTAAATATATGCAAGGGACTCGAGTTGTAGCGTGGACGTCCAATAAGCTTTATTGGACAACGAGAAGAGCCCGGGGTACAAGTAGAATCCGTTTTGCGACAGAATTGGATTCCACAACGGAGTTGCAGAGATCGAAAACAAGACCAATTCTTTTTTCTAAGTTTACCCTCTTGTGGAAACGCCTTTCAACCATTGGGCTATATCTATTGAATATATTTAAACGCGCGTTTGATCAATTACTTGGACAGCTTCGGAAAGTGTGTACTTGTGCAATGCGCCAAGAGTTATTAAATTGTCACGCAGATGTACGTACACAAAGGATCACTGATGCCTTCCCACGTGAATTTGCGCACCGATCAACACACTTATACATTTTGCATATGCACACACGAGAAATGTATATGTGTTCTACCCGTGGCTAAATTCATACGGGAAAGCATCTGTGAGTGCTGTTACACGGAGCGCTTGATCGGGTTTAATAACATCCGTAGTTAAGGGGCAATCACAGTCATCCCATTCTTCTGAGGAATAGTTGTAGTTGGCCAGTTTTATAACTACAGATGTTATTAAGCCCGATTAGGGTGCCGTGTAAACGTGGTCCACGATTCCTCATGTGTACACATACATACATACGCAGGGTGTTTCGGATAAGGTGTCCCATCCGTTTGTATACAGACGGACGTTTTTATTTATCGCTCAAAAATTATTGGGAACTTTATAAAATGGCACATAACTTTTCTCTTCAGTTTAACCCGCTCTACCTGTACACGAGCGGACGGACACCTTATCCGAAACACCCTGTATACATACATACACACATACAACATACAATCATATACACACACGCGACGTCGAGCGAGAGGACGTGACTAATTGTGTAAAGATAAATGGATAACGAAATAACCGAGAGGAAAGAATACGCGCCGGACGAAAGTCTCGTTTAATCGGAACAAGACGCCGGCTCGGGGATATCGGCTTACAATTTTAACGCCGTGAGCGACGACGGGTCTCTGCAATCGCGGGCCCCCGCAGTGTGGACGCAACAGGTAATCAGGCAGCCGGTATCCGACGGAGCGTATCCACTCTGACAAGTCGCACTGAAAATATACGCTCCACTCGCGGCCGCCACCGTTCTGGGTGTCGGCGGTGACGCGATCCCCTCGGAAATCGGGCGCGACGGGCGATCGCGAATCGAGAATTAATCAATTGTACACATATACGCGCCGCGTAGGCAGAGATAGGCGCACGTCCGGTTCCAGCTTTGTTCCAAGTCGTGTACGCCGCGGCGTATAACATTGCGAGTCGGTGGCTTCGATGGGGAACGCGCGGGCGACGAGAGCGCCAGCGGATGTCGCCATAAACAACGAACAGATCGAAAGTTAATGGCGGATTCATACCGCGTCCGATGTCCGACATCCAATAAGAGAGTGCGTTCTTCTGGAGACTTTAGGGAGTCCCTAGAATACGAACTCGAATGTCGGCCATTAGGGGAGATGCGAATCCGCCGTGGGCGAAAGCGCTTAAAGTTTTGTTTAAAAAAACTCTCATATATATATATAATAAATTTTACATTGCTTGACTGAGTTCCTATACAGTCTGGTTAAAATTAAAAATAATCGATTCAACCTATAAACATTACCAATAACACATGACAGAGTCTCAATCCTTGACTGCCTTTGCTAAGAGCCATTTCCTTTCGAGATACGTAAGAATTAATAGCTACTTAACGAAACAACACAGCAAAAATGGTCAACTGAGAATCAAGGTACCATACATTAGGCCGGGTCTACAATAGGTGTAGTAAGCCTAAGTCCCAGTCTACAATAAATGATTTAAGCCCTAAGCTTTAAGAAATTGGCCAATCACGGTCAAGTATGAGTAGAATGCGCGACTGTCATTAGTCAATTTCTTCAAAGCCTTAAGAAATTGACTAATCACAGTCGCGCATTCTACTCATACTTGACCGTGATTGGCCAATTT